CGCTAGTTATTTCGTGCCAATTGTTCCAGCAGCTCATTGGCATACGCCTCCTTCTACCCAGTAAAGTCTGGAAGAGAGCCTACCTTACCACGACTGTCCTTCCAAAGCAAAGGGGTATTTGTGAACAGGCTTCTCCATTACGCTAGTTCCGTACTTAACTAGACAAAAGACCTTCGATTCCGATACCATCTACAATCATTTGCTATAAGGCACTTTACATTTTTATACATACATTTTCATACTCTACATTATTCTTATACCAAAACAATCAATCAGACACAAGAATCTTAGGGAGTTTACTTCAGTTCGATTTCACGTTTTCATTCTCACAACACAATAGATTCCCTGTATTCACGATGGATAGCACGTCATGAATCTATTCGATTTCTCTCTCTAAGGAGTCTGTCCTATCTCTGCATCAGGGGGAGGAACGTCCAGAGCTTCGAAGTCAATTATCTCTCCTCGCCAGGCTTCCAAGGAACTTTGCGAGATGTCGGCAGTTCTCTCACAGAGGTCTTTTTTCAACGAACCACGAACCACTACGGGTCCATTTTATAACGCGAAAAGTCTCAGAGGCAATAAGCATGTAGCTCATCTTAATACTTATTTGCAACATATTTACGTAAATCTACGGGCAAAAGCCGACACTGCACGACAGAGCAGACCTCGAACGAGTCAACCTGGTTAACGATTCTTGACCCTAGGAGACTGACAGGGATTGACGCTAATATTAGCATAGCCTTGGAAGGCTATTTTAAAGACGGACGACACTGGTCGAAGCAATTTCAGCGTTAATTTGTACCATGGAAGTCGTGTGTTAGAGTCTACAATGTAAGCACGTCTAGGCCGCTCTACCCGGACTGCGACGTAAACCCAAACAATGTAGTCCTCACGCTGTAAACGCCACTCCTCCCACGCACCTCCACTAGAATGTATGAAGCTCGATATGGCCACCGTGCTGATGCCAGATCCGAACGCTTTGGGCGAGGCTGTGAGAAGAGTTTTACGATCGCTTAATTGGCTTGCCTTGCCCCGTAGTAGAGAGAATGAGGTAACGGATTAATCCTGTCTATGCTTACTCCTTACGCCTTTAAAGACACCAGCCGTGCTCGTTCGTCTACGCTTAGAAGACTTCGAAGCCTCGACTGTCTATATCATGTACTGGCTAAGCCGTATATTGCGAGAGGCTACAGAAGTTAACTAGCTCAAACAAAATGCGAAAACGAGAAACGGTCGACAGCTTCTATTAGGAGACCAACATTGCGCTTAGATGCGTCAATGATTTTGGATCAGCTCAGTATGACTGACAAACCGATAATATGTATGTTTACCTGGCGTAACGGAAATGTTTTCGTATCTGTAAGGTGATTTTAGCTTTCAAAATTTCGTTCGTGTTTTTATTGTTGGGCTAATGAAATGTTGTTGTGCTACGAAATAACATAATGTAGTGTTGTATATTTTTATGTAGCTGTGTTGAAAACTAGATGAATTGTCAATACCCTATTCCCTACATGCGTATGAGTGTTGTATCTGAAAAGTTCGACGAAAGATATCATACGATGCTAGACCTTAATTCAGATTGTTAGAAATCAGATTGTCGTTGTTTCCAGTAATGGCAGTCTGTACGCTGAACGCCCGTATACACTCCGAGGGCTGATAGAATTACATCGTTGTAATCGTATGTACATTTTTTTTTTTTGTAGAACGATCTCTAAGAACGCTGTAGGCGCGAAACACTGCGGCATTTCCGTAACAAGATGGAGACACAATGTCCCCATGATATATCCAATGCTTGGGTTGATTGTGGGTATTTGTTAGCTTTGAGAATACCTGGTAGGGTAGTCTACGTCCAAAACCGAACGTAGACACGCTCTGGGAAAAGGTCAGTCGCCTGAAGCAATCCTAAACTGGGGAATAGCAAATATAAAACCCAACACATATTACGCATGATAACCCAGAGGAAAGATATTGGAGTGAAAACATTAAGCAGTTGCTAGCAGCATCCTAGTATCCGTACCAAGTCGGTGCAATGGATTCTCTTTTGGCTTGCATGGATGTTACAAATGTTTCTGAATTGCTCTTAAACTCAATCATAACTTACCTCACTGTTGCAAAACGAGGGGCTTCAGGCTTGCTGACTTGTGACAAGTATGCTGTGGGTTTTGAAGAGTGCAAGAGCCAAACCGGCAGCTGACGTTCAAAAGAAGCTAGACTATAGAGAGGATTGTAGTAGAGTATTGTGTGGTGATCGCAGCAATAACACTGGAAATAGCGGGGTACACAAGTTAGTAGGTGATCGCCCACTGTGCAATCATAAATCCTGTCTTAAGGCCCTTCCTTTCTTCTAGTTTTCTTGAGTCTGTTCGGTAATCCAGAAACTTGGGCACAGGGTGCAGCGAGCAAAAAACAGCGGCGAGGGATATATAAGGAAACTCTTTAGTTTTATAACTTGATTCGTGTCCCAATAAGAACCGTACTGAGATCCGTCTGGCAAATTCGATCCAATATCGATGCCCCTGAACGATAATTCTCACAGACGCTGTAGAGCAAATTATGTCGGTATTATACGTTCCCTAGCCCCACTGCTGTGGCCGAACGAAGCAGGCGACTGTCGTATTGCTGAGCGCCATTTCTGAGCGTCGAATTCCTGGTTCTTTTTTAGACCTTTTTGATCTCTCATGCTGTATGGAAGGGTCTATGATGGGAAGACATAATGTCAACTTGGGTACAGGCGGGGCAACGGTAAGGGAATCTGAAGAGGGGCAAAAAAAAAGATGAAAAACACATGGCAAGGGCTTCCACTCCAAATGAAAATGTGCAAGGATGCGTCAGAAGTTCGCTTTACTACTAATATGAGGCACTGACCGCTCAAGGTTAGGCTTCGCTATTGCCGGTCTGCCCCTAACATTTCTTTGGCACAAAGATTTCTCTGATATGACTACTTAGAGCAAGCGGGGGGCATAGAAACAACCCCGCAAGGGCTGTAATAGAAACCGTCCAGGGCCAAATACTGTTGTGCTTACATATACTCTTAGAAGACATACATATCTTTGGTAAGAGCTGTGGAAAACTCTCTTGCCCTTGCAAATAACCTGGGTACGTCAAAGCGGACATGTCAGTATAGCGCTGCTATTTGCTAATAAGGTTCGCATTTAAATAAATCACGTAGGTGTGAACCTTCGCTATGATTTAGCGTGGATTCGGCGTGGATTAGCAGGCGTCCTATGTAGTACAGCAGTGGTGTTAGGGTAATTTGTTGGCAACTTAGGCCATATTATTTGACTTGCGTGTTTTTTCCGTCTCTCGAATAATTGAATCTGCCAGCTCCTATATAGATATAGGCAGCCTGTGTTAATAAGACAAATTTATTTCTCTTATTGATATAAAAAATTACCAATTTTAGATAGATGATGTTTCAATTGCTTCTCCTCTGTTACATCAATTCAAAGCTACAATGTAATATATGACAGTTACATTTTTCAATAGAGTTTGAAAACAGTGAAAAAAACTAACTGGCCAGCGTTGGCGATGTCAATCAGCAAAAACGTCTCCTCCAGTCAGATCTGTTATAGCCGCTACCATCAACGAGTATTCCAACTTTCACTCGTTTCATGAATCCGCTGATCTGGAACAGAAGTGCTTTCCTCATTCCCTATTTAAACACTAATCTTTTGCTTGTCCATGTAGTATATGCTTTTTGGTTTGAAAGCTCTTATGTGGCATTCTATACATGGTTCAAACAACAATTCTATTATGGTCTACGTAAAAGCTATGGCAAGGATGTTACGGAGGATCCTTGACTGAACATGGGCAATGCAGTCCTAATGTTCGTTTTATCGTGAAAACATTTCCGATTAATTATGATCAAAAACAACTTGAATATATTGAAAAGGTACAATCTAATTCGTTACGTAAAATTGATAAGATCGTCAACCACCTAAGACGGCTTTCGGAACCTCTGTTCCATAGAGAAAATCAGAGTAGGAGCATGAAAGGATGAAAAATTTCTTTAGACGTTGCCGTTTTTCGAGACATTAAAAAAAACCGTCTAGCAAGCGAATGCTACCGAGCGAGTATCAATCACTTTCCAAATAACTCGTGCACCCATACATCATAGCTTTGTACTTAAGGCCAAAACAACACAAAAATTACGTTGCCGCGTCCGAAAAGTTTCCTCATTAGAGAGAGCACTTGGGCGCACGCTTGCAACGCAGCTTAATGCGACACACTAATGCTAAATATACACGCGCCAGCTGTGAATAGAAGGTACATTAGCTTCATGGCCGATTACAGCTGTTCTATCTATATATCTGTTTGTTAGACTATAATGTAAAGCTTTGTCTATCATTAGATAATTGTAACTCTTCTGTTTGCACAGTAATATGAATAGATAATGACTTTGGTCAGCTTTGACGAATTGTATCAGGTCATGATAAGCGATCTCCATGAACGTCAGTAAAAGTCACGTTTTTCATCCTCTCAGAGTGAACCTTTAGATTTACCTAGACTACGGTCGAATTGTATAGCATCAGTTGACGGTTCTTACGTGGAATGGCTGGATTATTTGTACTGTAATTATAGCTTATTATTATCCACTGTACGTGTCCTGAAATTGTTCGGTGTAATATATATATTTGACTTGATTGGCATCTATCTATCTATACTCATCGCGAAGTATATGTAACGCAAGAAGTAGTCGAGCTTTGCCTAAAAAGGTAGCATCATTTAATGAATACTGAATTGTTGGAACAAATAGGTAAGAACGAATAATTACACTTGTTTAACCTGTATGTTGATACTATCATAGATACTGTAATGACCTGCGATGCTAAACTCGGTCAATATGAAGCTTGAAGCAGTTAAGCCTATTGTCTTCAACCACCCACAGAGGGCATTCGACCAACTTTACTAAAACCGAGTACACGTATAATTAGTCCAATTCAATATTTGTTGACCTACAGTCTTAAGAATAAATGTCATTGAAGTAATAACTATTTTCGTTTTTGTTATCTAATTGCCTTTATTTCGTAAATGTCAGTAGCGGTTCTTTCTAGTGGGTGCAACGAGTGGCAACCCTGATGTCGTAGTAGACCATACTGCCCTGACGGGAAGAAGACCTAAGAAGGTCAGTGGCAACTAGTTGAGTCTGGACCTGGCGCTGAATCTGAATAGTGCGGGGATGGTTGGGAGCATGGCAGGAGAAGCCAACGGAGCGTGTTTCACCTTGTAGTTGCTGATAACCGTGCTCGCAGGTAGGAACAGGTTCAACGGAAAAGCAGATCTTGCCGCCCAGGGTGATCATACGAGTCTCCTCGATAATCCGATCACGATCTTGGCGGATAATGGGCTGCTCAGTGGAGAATTGCTGCTGCTGCTTGGTGATCTGGACTCGAGTGGCGTCACGGGACTGAACACCCTCAGGACAGGTCCACTCACCCTGCATTCTTTCGGCTTGATCCTGATTGATGCTGAAGGCGCCGACGAAATCCTTATCGAGCTTATAGAGGCAGCCGCGGGGTCCGACAAGTTCTTTATCATACTCGTTGTTCGCGCTACCGCAGAGACCGGTAAGCTGACCTTTTTGCTGCCACTTAGCCAGTTCGATCTGGAAGTTCTTGCCATCGTAGACAATGCGCATGCTTTGGTCATGGACCATCATAACAAGGGTATCCTGGCCCTCCATGTGCTCTTCGACGTGGAGGGTAACCATGTGTTTGTTCCTGCCGGCGTACTGGCTAACTATTGCCTTGGTGGAAGTGACGTCCACCATGGTGTTGTTCACCCAAACGTTGTATTGCCCTTGCTGCTTAGGAGGAGTTAGTTGGATGAAAGTGGATTCACGGAGGAAAACGTGGAGCTCAGTCTCGGGATACTGTTCATAATTTTGGATCCTCTTGGCAAGAATGGTAAACTTAGACTGCTCGTCGTCCATGTCGCGCAAGATTACGTACTTCTCACCCTGCTTCATGGTCTTGACGGAGATTGTGACGTTGTCAAAAGTGCGGAGGTTCAGGCCGTTGTAAATGCAGATAGCTAGGGGAGAGAAACCAAATGGAGCAATCGGAAAAAAACATGTTTTCAAAAAAGTTATATATTTTTGACATGATACTCGTGATACTTAATAGCAATTTTCGAGGTTCCGTGTGTAAACTTCCATTGAGATTAGCTATTTGTCAGCAAACATAGATTCATGGTTTTTAGTGGGAAATGGTGGGGCCATAAAGGGGGTAACACTTACGTTCGGGCCGGCCGTTCCTGAGGATGGCCTTGGCCTGCTCCTTAATGGACCACATAGTGTTGGGACGGAGAGCCTTAGGAACAGCGACGCGCTCGAAAAAGAGATCCTCCTGATCGGGGGTGTGGATGGAGAAGTTGACCATGCACATCTCAGGGTAACTATCAGAGTAGACGAGCTCACCATCAATCCTTCCACGCTGAATATTTTTGTCGAAGTAGTTAGCATGAAGGTTCATGTAAAAGTGGGTCTTCAGGGCTTCTCGGGCTTTGTGAGTGATGCTAGCGAAACCGTCAGGAATTTGCTGGGGAAGCTCAATCTCAAAGGTGAGCTTGTTCAGGGCAGACATATGGTACCGGGTAGCCTCGCAGGCGGTAGACATCTCGGACTGGTGTTCCTTCTTGTCTTTTTCGCACTTGCTACGGAACCAAGGCATTTCCTGGATGGGCCGCTTCATCAGCTCTTTTTGCTCCTCGGACATGCTCATTAAAAACTTACCAGCATACTGCTGTTTGCCAGTCTGAGCGGTTTTAAGTTGAGCGATAAAGCCGAAGACACCAAGCGGTTCTTTTTCGTTGACCTCAATTTCAAAAGGCTGGGGAGCTTTGGTAAAAGCGGCGACAGCCTGACCCTCAAAATAAATGGGGGAATTTTCAACGTTCATCTTGACCTCAACGAGCTGGGCCTGCTTAGAGAGGGTGGCAGCGACGATCATATGACCAGTAACAGCGAATTGCTGCTCCTTCTGACTGTTAGTGGTAAGAATGTACTCGACAGAGCAGACCTGGATGTTATCCTTATTCAATTTGCGGCCGAGCTCAGGCTCAACGAGTGACCAGTACTTCTCGGTCTGCTTGGTGGTACGTTCAACAGCCTGCTCGATGTTCTCAATCTCGGGCTTTCGGCCGGTGACCTTCTCGTACTCCTGGCTGTAGGCTATCATACGCATGTTCTCCGGGTGCGCCTGTTCCTCGACGAGCTGCTCGTGGGAAAGGCGTTCCTGTTTTTGCTGCTGGTTTTTGCCCTGGGATATTCGATCCTCGAGGAGGTCGCTCATATGGAGGACAAGCTTGATTTCCTCGACGGGTTTCTGCTCAGTCGGCTCAATACGAACCGACCAGGTGCGGGAAAGGAACCACTCGTTGACGACCTCTTTAATAAGGGCGGCTGCAGTGCTGGGCTCGCTACCGGCGATGCGGGCACGGATAGGGTCGACGGCGTAGTCTTCGCTCATAGAGAGACCTTGAACGCGGAAGGCCATACCGAGCTTCTCACCAAGAACACGCTCGTATATGAAGGGCTTCGGTTGGGTCTTGAAGGTTGTGTATTGCTCAATAAAAGGTTTGTCAACGGAACGAATAAGAAAAGCCTCAGTCTTGAAGGTCATAGCGCGAGTCATGTGGTAGAAGATTTGCTCGAAGCGTGGGCGGAAAGTGAAACCCACAGTCCTGGTTTGCTGGGTGTATTGGAGGGAAGCATCAATAGGGAAGGTAACGTAGGTCTGCTCTATAGCGCGGACACCGTGAGCAAAGCGGGTGTTTTCCACTGGATTGATGACCTTGGCAGTATGGATAGACGTATAGTATACGGTGGGCCTGATCAAGCCAGACGCAGCAATCATGTAGGGGTCAAGCTTGAACTGGCCTTTTTCGGCACCGAAGCGAGTTTGGAGGTTTTTCAGGGAAAGGGAGATTACGATGGGGTTATGGTTGGCAAGCATAACGGGAAGACCGTTGACGCCTGGGGCGACCTGGATATAGGTGTGGGGCATAAGGACATGAACGTAACGGAAAGTCTTATCAGTACCCTGCAGTTGAATGATCTGCTCACCAACCTTCTTAACAATCTCGCCCATGTAGTCCTTGTCCAAGGGCATGTAGAGCTCATTACCAAGGAAATTGCCGAAAACAACGGCGCGAGGATGCTCATTCTTCTTTTCAGTGTTAAACTGCATTGCCTGCTCGATGTCCTCAAGCATTTGCTTGATAAGTCCGGTGCGGGCACCACGACGCATGCGCTGCAGGACGTTCTCGACAATTTTGCTCATACCACCATTTTGGGGGATGCCCTTGTCAAGATTTTCCAAACCCTTGGCGAGCATGCCAAACTCACCTATATTGGAGATGAAGGGGCCTTTGTTGGCGGTAAAGCCAGTGTAGACAGCGCGGGGAATGGCAGACACGTTAGACTGGATGATCTCCCAGTGACCCTTAAGACCCATGTTGTGGAGGGGGAAGTACTGAGAAGCAGTATACCACTTGGAGCGGTAAAGGTCGTAACTATTCTGGGGAAGAGCACCTAGAACGTTTTGAATACGGCGGGCAGACTGCTTCATGCAAGGAAGGGTGGAGTTGGCCATAGAACGAAGAGCGGAGTAAGCGAAGGAGGCAACTTCCTGGTTGCGTTCACGGCCGAGCTCAATGACGATACGACCGAAGGTAGCCTCGGTAGGCTGAGTGGTCAAAAGGACAGAGAGGGCGGCAATACGGATGTCGTAATCCTCTTCCTGGTTGAAGTAGATACCCTGAACAATAGGATAGACAGCGGCACCATGCTCTTTGGCGGAGTTGTGTAGAGCGAAGATGGCGATTTGCCGAAGGAACTGAACGTACTCGGAGTTGTCCTCCTCCTTATCGTTGGGGTTCATCTTCTCAATTTGGGTGATCACCTCAGGCTCAGCATATACGTAGGGGACGAGGGCCGTGATGGCCTCAGGGTGGGAGAGACGGCCGAGGGTCTGGATGTATACGCCCTGCTGTGTGAAGCTCCTAGCGGAAGTCAACTGATCACGGACAGCATAGACGAAGCGCTTGTACTCCTGCTCACCACAAAACTGTATCTGCTTGCCGTTTCCGATAGTCTGTTGTTCGTACAGCCACTGTGGCCACTGTTGCTGGTTCTGCCATTGGCGAGTCTGATGCTGGCCGCAGTTGGAGCGGACAATTTCACTAAGGGCGATGCAGGCAGTGGAGAATACGATAGGTTGCTCTTGGAACATTTGTCCAGTGCAGATCTCGAGAATACGATCCATGGTCTGGGTGGTAGGGTTAACGATATTCTTCTGCAGGCCTTCAAGGACATGAACAGTCTCAAGGATGGACAACTGCTGCTGCTTGATGAGTTCAACGAGGAATTCAGCAGCATCGTTGGATCCGGAAAGACCGATGGTGTCAATGAGAACCTTGCGCTGAACCTGCTCGAGCTCTGTACGGGTACTGGCCTGGACAGGCTCCCCAACGATGCCCCAAAGGGCCTGAAGGTCCTCCTTACTGAGATTTCCAAGAGCCTGGGAAAGCTGCACGATCTTATCACCAGTTTGTCCCTTAAGCTTGATGTTATCAAAGACGATAATCTCGGAAAGAGCCTTAATCATAGAGATAATCTGCTCCTTAAGCATATCACCATTGTGCTGCTTCTTGAAAAGAGCGAGATAGGCAAGGTCATACCTATGCCCCTCAGGAAAACGGTAAATGAAGTCTTCGTATTGTTTGGTAGCCCCGTCCTTTTGCCAGATTTGCGAGATGGGACGCTGCTCAACAAGGCTAAGCTTCATCACGGAAATAGTCATGATTTGCTGGTGACGGAGGGGAAGGACCTTCTTGTCCAAAGCGTGGACCTCGTGGATGAGACCCAACTTTCCACCCTGCTCAAGAGTCAAGTTATAATTATAGGTGGTATAAGCCTCTACAAGCTCAAGCTTGGGATGAAACATTGCAGGACAACCCTCGTCGGCGGGCATCTCCCATCCAGAAGTGTCAGGCTGCATGTTGGCATCAACCCTCTCGGGCCTGTGGGTAGGGCAGACATTCTGACAACCACGCCAATCATGGCCATTCTGGAAATAGCGACCATCACGACCGATCTGTTTCATGTAATTCCTGGTCTTGGTCACGTTGAGTTGCTGGTTTTGCTTAGGAGAGGACAGAATCTCGTAGATGGTCTCGAAGGTTCCGGCGATACCTTGCTCGTAACGACGGTAGACGATGGGTCGTTCATGTCGCCACTGGTCATGGTCTGCGCCCTGGAACATGAAGGGATGGCTATCACAACCTTGAGTTTCAGGCTTGCCGACGGTAAGGGCTGCAGCGATGGCTCGGTAGACGTTCACAATCTCCTCAGGCATGCCCTGGGGAGCCTGGAGCTTCTGAACCTCATTCTCCTGGTAACTAACAAATACGGGGCCGTACCTCGAGATCATCTCATCGATAGTGCGGGAGACGCCCTCGACGCGACGATTCTCGATATCCTCGACCTCCTTGTCGAAGGAGCCGGTCTGAACGTGTCCTAGATGAAGGCCAAGAACCTTGGAGCTGCCCTGTTGCTTTGTCATCTGGACAGTCAGCGTACCGTACTTTTCAACACCAGCATAGCGGCTAGACTGGTGGGGCATACCAGTAGCGACAAGAGAGCGGTAGTTATACACGTACTCGGACTGGTCATGGAAAACTATGTAATAATCAAACAGGAATAAAGAGAAAAAAATTTAGTTCGATATATTCATAGTTCTAGTTGACGTTAACGATTAAATATGCATAAAAATTATTTATCTATTGATGACTTGAAGTGTGCGAGCGAAGTTCGTTAGTTTGTGCAATCATGCTTAGATACTATGTAGATATTTGTGTAATTATGCGTGTTCGATTCTAAAAGACACTCACGCTCGGGAATGGTGTCCTCGTTCGGTCCAGGCACGGCTGAAATATATTGCGGGCATCAGGATAAGTTAGTGCCGATAGATTCAGTGCAGCGACAGTAATTTAGAAAGTGATTAAAAGCGGGCGAAATAAGGCATTTTTTCTTGTACTACAACACAGATCTCGCTAGTTCAACTTGGGGCTACCGCATAAATATTATAAAAACAAGATAATACTTATTCTACTGCTATCATAATTTTTCAGGTAATATTGCCGTCTGCTGGACGGCATTTGTTTTTCGAAGTCGCGTTACCGCACTTCGATTTTAAATAATTCATTTTTTGCGTTCCACGTACTACGCCCGACGTACAATATTAGTTCGAGTGTATTCCCGAATGTAGAATCGTCATTGCCAGTGCCTATTCGAAGCCTTATTGTGTCTGTAGTCTTTTTATGAGTTTAAAGGTTTGTGACTTATAAAAAGTTGTTAAGAAGTAAACTTATTTAACCAGTGCTACCCTGATATCTTGCATCTAGTCCAATAGCAACAATTTTGTGCAAATACGAGTTATATTACTGTATCAAGCAAGCTTACAACCTTCTATGAAGCATCTGCATAGAACAGAATGAGGACCTCATTTTAGGCAATTGCTAATTCAAAATCGAAGCCTACTGATAGGCAAAAATTCGTTGCGTAGTTCACAGGTCGTGTAACCACCGTGGAGCAAAGTAAACATTTTTAATACACAGAAATCCCTGAATGAAAAGTATGCAGAGGGCATACAACTCACCGGCGGCGACAGTCACAAGGCCGAAGCAGGCAAAAAGAACCTTCATCTTGGCTGGTGTGGATGTGTACCTAGACTCGCTAAGGAATACACCCTGCATTCCGAACAGTTTTCCCAGTACTTTTATACCCGGGCTGTGTACCCTCTCACCGTTATCATTAATATATCATCGACAAAGGAAAGCGTAAATGTTGGTTCGTCCAATCTAGCATATTCCATTTAACCGCTAACTGAAAGCTCAGAAACAGTTGCAAGATCAGCGATCCCGACGTTGACCGCCTTCTATCGTTTCGACCATTAGCAAGGCCACGGCAACAGTAGCAATTCTATACGTCGCTTCGTAAAGAAATCCAGGCCGGAAGATGGTATAACAAAGAGGGCTAGGTTTGATTTCCTGTAACACACAACCTATAAGATAGATATCGTCCAAAAAAAGTAAAAAATGCACAAGTTTATAGCGTCCTGTATAAAACTAGCTAAGTTGTAGAGCGCGCATCTCGTAAGCATGCATGCTAACGCAAGCTGCTAGAGTAAACATATATAATGGCGGCCTATCGTCGTACTCATCTAGTCTTAATATAGGTGAGCTGTAGAGACGACGTTCACAGTGGCTGCTGTGAACCTAATTTTTTGTAATATAAAATAATTTAAATTTTATCAGTTTTTATATACCTTGCTTTGGTGCAGTGGAAGAGGCCGTGGATTAAATTGTAGCATGGTTAGCTTTATATTGAACCTGATAGGAGCACTCAGCGTCATATAGGTATATAGGTTGTAAAAAAAGTATAGACCGCTTTTTAGTTAGATGGCTTTGAAGTCACGTATCTCAGGTAATGTAGCTCATATCGGACTAGCGTAGGCGTCATGTAAAAACTGAGAGCTTTGACACGAGTAAATGTGCTGATGTGGTCGAAATACCTTGATTCAGATTTGCGATAGAGGGTGCATATAGGCGAAATTTCTACTACCTAACATTCGCTATGCTTTACGATTTTACTACGTCAATGCCCATAAAATTATAGGCATAATGCGTTACTGGGAGAAATGACCCCAAAAAAGCTAAATGTCGATACAAAAGACACTCCTCATGACGGTCTACTAGTTAATTACAAGAAAAGTTGACGAAATTACTATGAAAGTTGAACAACGCGTCAATAGCCAAGGTACTAAACATTTACTACAAAACCATTTAAAAGAAGACCGCCTGAAAAAAGAATCTTCCCGTTTGTCTGAACGCTGCACAAATCGGCACACGATAATGACCTCGACTGTATTTTCGTCCATGAAAACGTTACTAAACTGAGTCAGTTCGACCACGCGTGATGAAAAATGGATTACATAGAGCAGTAATATGCGGAAAAGGTAATGATCGCAGCGCGGAAAAGCTCTACAATTTTCGCCGAGGCCCAGACTGATGTCAAAAAAGGTGACGTTAGGTGATATTAAAAAGAAATCGTACATTACGAGTCGCTGCCCAGCAGAACGACTGATTCGGGCCTCCACTGTTAGCAACTAAGAGGGTCACAAAATAAAAATTAAGCGAAACTAGTGAACAGAAAAAAACGTCGTCTTGTAGCATGACAATGACAGATTATAAACATATTTAGCTATTTGACAAGAACTGAGACGACTTTGATGAGAAATTTTGACATATGCTCCACGGAATACGGATCTGACACCATCAGATCTTCACGAGTTTATCTCTGGGGTTAGTCTGGCTTCAGTAGAGGGATGCGAAACCAGTGATTGCAGGAAAATAGCAGAAAATCATCTATCAATAGTTGCGCATAGTTAACTTAGAAGTAGATCAAAAATAATTGTCTCCAATTTAAGTTTTCAAACAGTCAACTCTTTTTGGACACCTATATACACACACACATATATATGTGCATGCATACATGTATCCGGTTCTTGTTGTGACAGCAACTAAGCGTGACACGTTGTATAGTGATGGTTTTCTAATTATTAAATGTGTTCTACAATAATATGTCCCGGATGTATCACATCGTCACAATGTATACTATATATATATATATATTTTTTTTTTATAAAAATTCCGCTCAATGCTTTAGTACGTTACTGTTGTGTTAAAGATATTGCCATAGGTGTCTAAATGAGTGCTAAGAGAAAAGAACGCGAGTTTGTGGCCCTGCTTTCCGAAGCGCTGCCACGCTCTTTTTGCCTACCGTTTAGGCCACGGTGTCGCTCGACGAGAAATAGCTTAGTACATATGTAAGCGACGACAAAAATAAAAATGATTGAAGATAGGAAGAACTGCTGCACCTATGCCTTACTATTGTGATCTAATTTTTTAATATTTCTATATGCTAATGAAAAATTGGGTGCGTCGTCTTTGAAATAGCCCGCGCAAAACCGATTACTGCGATAGGCAGTTAATCTGGAGCGTTTTCTTAATGCAACAAAAATATAACGAATCCCTCTTTATCCTAGAACAAGCTAGACTCAGCTTGTTCAGCCGCCGTCTGGCCACCTTTGTCCAATAAGCAATTCCAACCAGAAAGTAGAAAGACCTCTGCCTTACCCACTTTTGCCTGCAGGTTGCTCGCCCATATCCTCGCATTCGAACGACAAGTAGATACAACAGATTAATTATAAAGCAAACCAACAGATGTTTGGTCTTCATCGTTGGAGTTCACGTATCATTCTCGAATAGCAGATCTAAAGAAACATCTACTTTTTGATAGAACCTCCCGAGCTGTGACCAGACTAGCTCCTTCGTGAAGTTCTACTCATTTCGTTCGCTTTTAGAGCAGACGATGCACTCACTCCAGAAACTGGCTAACACAAGGTCCCACGTCCATCTTAAATTGATGCTCGTTGTAGTACCAGTATCGAACCATTTGCCAGACGCTATAATGTCCGCTGTACGAGCCTAACGTCGCTATTCTAGCTTTTCCCTCGTCCGCCGTAAACACTGCGAAAAATACCTACCGTAGGGGCCGAAGTGCCTTATTGGGTAGCGCGTCGTTCACTACCTCAAAACTTCTGCCGACAGAGACATCGACGTGGAAATTTGAAGGTGGAAGACGTCACTGAGCATCCCTGTGCCTCTAACAAGCATTTCACAATTGAGTTTGCTACTAAATATTTTTACCTGTGATATATGAGTTGGATGAATAACTGGAGTTACTTTTATTACTTTTCATTATTGCTTAAAACAGCAAAGAAGATCATCTCGATCTTTCGGATCGATCGATCTGTCTCCCTTGTTTCTACTAGTTCCATGTTTGGACTTACTTTGGCACATACATGAGAAAGTTTTATAATTTCATATACAGATAAAGAACTAAAATAATTTGAGATATACTTGTGAACGTTTCATTGCTAAGAATTGGTTCGACTATGTTGATTAATAGTTTTTTTTTTTTGTAAATCATATAAAGATGGCCTTCTTATGTAAGTGAAACCTATTATAAAGGCTGTTATGGAAATGTCGTTTGCGGAAACTCGTTTGGTCATGTAATATAACCCTACTGGAGGATTCTTCGGAAATAGATTCCACAACTGGCTCTGTGCGGCAATTATGAACTTGTTTATTTGGGGCTTTTGCCTCTGAGTTGGCATGGATTAAGATCAGTTTTCATCGATGAAACGTTAAATAGCCTCCATGGATTCCGCAAAGCTGTGATAATTAAAACACAAATGATGATATGTTGAAGATTATCATAGTGTTTCATATGTCTTAGTAGAGTATAAATTATCTCTGTGAAAGTTCTCTGCTTTTTTGGCATTTTGAGCATTGCGCCTGAAAAAACATGGCCGTAGAAATCTAGTAACTTCGCTTTCGAACCTGTGTCTAATATCGACTTCCTGTACTTAAACTTGGTTTCCTTGGATAAGCCAGAGTAAAAAAAAATTGAGGAAAAATTAATTGTAAAAATAAATCTCTAGGACCTTTGTTGGACAGAAATTATTAGCTACGACACTTCGCCAAAAAGCAACGACAAAACACAATACAAATCCCAAACACAAGTCTGAAAGTTCGTCTGGTAAGTAAAGACAATACCTTAAATCGAGCAATACCAGCAAATGGAGAAAGTTCAACGAGCTGCTTTTTTCCACTCAGCTGGAACTGGAATTGAGGGTGATTAATGCCTCCCAAGGTGCTGTTAATGATCTTTTGGAACTGAAAAAAAACAGGCTAAAATAAGAAATTAGTTAGTCACATGGGAGTATCGATGAATATGATCTTGAAGAAGCATTGCCCATCCGAAGGTAGAACGATGATCAAGCTTTGAAGACTTTTATGGGAACTGTAGATGAGGGCAGTGACAAAGAAATATCCCAAAAAAGTCAGACAGTTAGGTCGATGGCGGGAATAGGCAATTCAAATGCCCCTCGCAATTTAAAATACTATAAGTGGAAAAATTCCATTTCCACATAAGTATGCGCCATCGTTGAAGATGATCGGGAAGAAAGTCATTCCCCGAGAGCGACTTAGAAACATATGAACATAATGCACAGTTTGTGGAAAGGATTGTTCAAGATAAATAAACTACATCCAAATTTCGTGGCATAATTAATTGACACGATTAATCAGTTAATTATTTTTTTAAAAAACGTATCTCTAACTACTGGCCATTTAATGTATGTTCCGCTAAAAGCGTCCAAGACATAAGTTACTATGAGTAAGTAGTACAAACTCGCGTCGTCGCATTTTCGCAAAAAACAACGAACGGTTAACAGTTACTTCGCGGAACAGCATTTTTGCATGCTACGGGCATACGCCGTTGGGACGGCCTTCATCATTCATGGAAAAATCCAGTGGCTTAATATATTTGGTCCGGATTCATGATCTTTGGTTACGTGTGTGAATGTCGCCCCCAATCTGACCTCTGATTAGAGCGCGTTTGAGAAGCTCGGAAGGATTCAATAATTAAATGATTTGAGCTGCTAAGTAAACTTTACTTTGACGCTGCCATTTAAAGCAGTTACCTGTTTGCTAAATTTGTACTTGTTGGCTTCCGGAGTAGAATTGACTCTGATACTAGTTAATGTCGGAGACCACATGCACTGGTGACACGAGGCAGTCCTGAGCCTAAGCAACACGCTTTGAAAGGCCTTGGAGTTTTAGGAAGAATCAAGATATTAAAGCGTATTTAAAACTGCCCGATGGATTATTGAGTATATTTGTCACTAGCTCGGAATGATTTATGCTCTAACGTTATAGTATGTATTTCCATTGTTACGTATAAAAAGTTGACGTTTATCGTAAAGACAGAAAAGGTCATTCTCGACGAGTCGGAGCTCAGGTAAAAGAAACAAAACGCACGAGTTTAGCAATTAGCACAGTTGAAAAGCTTAAAACGGCTTGCGAACCAACGCAGAAGCCCAATGCTGTCACTCTTCTGCGATCGGTGTAGGTTAGTGGTTTATACATGTAGAAGATACGTGGAACTGGCCAAATCGAGACATTCAGCATCATTTCTCTTTTTCAGCATTCCGTGGCCATTTAATTGTTATGCCTGTGTTCACAGAACAGCCGAATATGATGAGGTTAGGTCAGTATTAGACAGACATAACACTCACCTAAGCAGTTCCTGAAATCTCTCTCCACAGTTACTTTCAGTGCCAGCCTTCAAACAATCAGTACCTCAAGTGACCTGGATACTTTGTTGTTCTTTTTTTTTTTTGCAAAATCATCACAAAATGTTTGATTTATGTAATTTTGTTGCTGGCCGACAATACTTATTAATCAATCGTAACTGACTGATAATTCTGACAAAAACTACTTCTATAATAAAATATATTTCGAACTTCAGAGTACGTTATCGTTCGAGCTAAATGCATTGTATAGAAGAACGGATGTGCTCCTTTGGCAGTTTTCGCAAGTTCGTCACGGAAGTTTTTTTGCAACTTACATTTGAATTTATTTAAGCAGTGTCGACACTCTCTTAAGCTCCTATTGCTGAAGTGACGAGTGAGATAAACTGTCATTTGAATGGCAGTGTTATTGTGTAGAAGAATGGTTCGTCTTCGCTATAGACTTAATGATCGGCTCATTCATATATCCCCTTTCACCGTGACTTGAAGAAGCTTCTTCGTCTGCTACCGATATGTTATACAAATGTTTAGTGTTTATAAATGGACTAACAAAATCGGAATGGTTCGATTCTGTTGGTCCGGTGCTTGAGCTGTTCGGCATTGCTTCAAATGGCTGGATTCCGCCAAACGTGTTGAAACACTACATTAACAAATAAGGCGCATTTATTTGATACCCTTACCACATTCATGACTACAGGTAGAAACAAAGCAACCACGGATCAATGTATTCGTAGTTCATTAGAATAGAATTGAAAAAAATCATGTTTAAGTAACACCGCAAATCGTAGGACACATAGTCCTTAGGTCTTTAGTCTCCTAAATAAGTTTCTAAATTCTTCATAACTTATCTAATAGTAAGGGAAATTATTAATTACATTATTAAAAACAGGATAGATTAATTAGAATGATTATTTCTGAATAAAAGTAAAATTTTGTTTCGAAACACTGTTTTATCGAAGACATAATCAAGACTCTGTTAGAGCTATCGTTTGAATCAAATATCGAAACAAAGGTTTAGGAGAATACGCATAAGGTAGTGGTCGCCAAGATTGGTAACGCAAACTAGTATTAAAGGTATTGACAGTATGTAAAAGGTATCTAGCTATCATTATTGATTTATCTTTTGTTTCATTAGACGAAGATATTTCATCATATGTGTTTAATACGCGATATAGTTTAATAACGAAGTATCCCTGGATAGAAACATGGACCACAATCTATTCTTACATAGCTACTCTCAACTCGGCCACTTTTAGTTAGCCGCATCGACAGACCCACGTTGTTGAAATTTCGTTGAATCTCACTTTTTATTTTGGCCAGCTATCGAAACCCATAGAATCCAGTGATCTTAGTTCTATCTAGTTGTGGGTTGTGTTCTGCCAGCTTCTATCTCATTGACCAATTCGGCACTCGCCGATGCCCGTTGACGGTCTGGCCTGTCCTTTTGCTACCTTCAGGACACCCGTCTTCACGTTCAAACCCAGTATGCGCCGATTTCAGTCATACGCTTACTCGTATAGACGACCCAGGGTCTAATCGATGACGAAGAATCACAGTGAAGGGTCAGAACGAAGAAATCTATCGCTAACCGCAGTGCCGCTCATAGAACGGACTCCTTACTAGGATAGCCCTATCTGATCGTCTTCTTCCCCCGTGGCCTTATGCCGCCTATCCAACGAATCTCTGAGCTGCCATATACCGGCGTCCAGGTGGTGCTTACTGGCTCTGGACTCCGCCTAAGTACAACTAACCAACTCGGTAGACGAGCATATTGGCCGTCGTCCTTCGACCGGGTGTATATTTGAGCCCAGTCCGAATCTGCCAGTAGCTCACACAAAGAAAAAAGCTCTTTGCTAGCAGCAACAAAGAGCAGACTGATGATCAGTATTATCAACAGCAACGGCTGCAGCCAGAGCAGAAGTGGCATTGGTACTAGAAGCAGCAGAAACATTCGGTTCGAGTAACGAGACACAAGTGCAAACGAGTTCGCTCTATGAGACCTACGGAGGTAGAAAAGACTACCTCTGCCGGGTATCCCCAATAGAGTCCAACCGCCAGAAGTGCAGAAGGGTGCGGCTCCGTTGAGCGGTGAGCAGGCGAAGCCGCGGAGAGCTGATGAATGCACAAAACACGAGCTTGTGAGTACGACCAACAGGGCGAATCCTGCGAATGCTACACTAAACGGTGCACCGAAAGTCCTTGGTGCTCACAACCGAGAAGGTTGCTTCGCCAAGGTTCGCTACTGTTATTCTGTAGGTCCTAGCCGTTTGTTAAGCACAGCAGCGCCACCAGCAGACCCATTCCCCCGCGATCAGCAAGACGAAGCAACCAGATTGGCCAGTGCAAACCCAAAATCTCTGTATGCTTTCTCAAATTCAGGGAGTGGAAACTTGAAAGGTCGCAAATTCATTACCGAGTCGCGTCACAACTAGAAACGTTGCCGCCCAGCACTTGTTGCTATCAGTAGACATTAGACAGTATTTGTCGTAGCCAAACGCGATTCGTGTCTCTGAACGTGCAACTTACTTTGGAAAGTCTGCGAACCACCTGTGAGAAACACAAGTACATACAAGCGTGCCCGACGGAGCTGGTTATTGTTGCAGAATCAGGCTGTAGCTGATATTGGCTGTCGAAATAAAGCGCGGGCAAATTCATACAGCGGCATCGCTCAGCGAAATTGGCAGGCGCGTATGCGGTAGCCGGACCGCAAAGTATCTATTCAAGGTGGCTTTAGAAAATTGACGTATCCGTTCGCCGTATCCCGCCACGGCCACGTGACCAACGTATTCCAGCTGTTCAATAGCAGTATTTCGACTGTAAGGCTGTTCGAAGTGAAAGATAGCCTACACGATATCGAGAGGATACAGCCTACTTATGAACGCCTGACATATTACCAGAACATGGTACGTGCAATGATGTGTCAACGCCCCCGATCGCATCTACACCTATGGAAAAGTATATCTAGCCGCACATGAAGTTCGTATTGTTACTGAAATTGTGCCTTTTTGGTTCTCCGAACTGCAGTTCAACAAGGCTATATACTCTATGCGTTTTCTACTGTTTGTTATGGTGCAAGTGAAAGTCGACAAGGGATGGTTGTAGCAACCGATTGCCACATGACATGCAGGGCTGTAACGTACGGCCTTCGTGTATTCATGACGCTCCGCAGTCATCTGTACAGCCCATAAAGTTCGTAAGCTGTGTGTCTCCCAAGGATCACTATCTGTTTTACAGTATCACAGTGTTGTGTCTCGTTAACAGACGTTCTTGTCGTTGCTGTTGTGATATTGATTAAAACGGGACGACGTCTTGGAACACGCTTCTGTTCCGACGAGGACCGATCACCAAGGCCAATTAAAATCACGGCAGTCAAGTTCAACCCTGCGCCACATTCCGTCTTGTGTCTTGCCGCTTTCTGTTAGCCGTTACCTCCAGAAAGTGCGCTAAATGTGGTTTGTATAACGGCCGAGAAAAAACAACGAAAGGAAATGTATTTGTGTGCGCGTGTTAGGTCTATATGTTATCGTTTTTTTTTTAAATATGTGTCTCTGTGTTTGCTAAAGAACAAAATGCTGCCGTAACGGTGCTTCTATCGCTCGACCAATAGAGAGAAGAAGGAATATATTGAAGATTTAGGCATCGGGAGGCCTGAGGGTCCTACATAAGAGAGCCAGGCGAGCTGAACGAGCTCACGAAGCTTCATTGCAAAAAGGTCACATTCTGTTCACCATCAATAGGGTAAAGATAGAGTCGATTTTCTCTATTTTTAAACTCCTCAGCGTCTTCGGTTCCCTAAATATGGCGTAGTCAACGTGTGAATGAATCTTCGTTCTTCTATCACCTATTCGTCTTGTCTATTCCACTGTTCGTATTGCTAAAAACACCGTTCTAATCAAACAAAGTCAAACTACTACTGCTGCTGCTGTTGTTGTGTGATTTTTCAAACCTCGCAGTCTAATCGTCTAAACAAATTCTGTTAACGGATCTGCTTCCTGAGTTAGTTTTGTGCGACGCAACGCTTAGCGTCAACTTAAGTTCTCTTGGGTTGTATTTTCATAGTTCCGTTTTGAGAAAACAGACCAAACTGACGGTTGAACTTCCCGTGCATTGGCAGAACTATGGTCCATGACTAGCGTCGATAGTGGATCTGTTTGGCCATTGAAGTTTGGCGAATCCACCGCCAAATCTACGAACCATTCGTAGACACGTTTATGGCACGTAATCATTACCAACAGTGCATAACGTGGAACCAAGGGTTATCGCACAAATTGATCAAAAGGAGCAATAATTTCAGACAGAAATTCGTAGACGCAGGACCGAATATGACCTTGAGTGCAGTCGAAGCTGGCACCACGCCACATCCCGTATACGTGATACGAAACGGTGTTGTTAAAGAGTTCAGCTCGGACAGCCCCTGGCTAGGTCTTCAATCAGGACCCCTACCTCCGACTTCTGCAAACCAGAACAACCAAGGCAGCCACCCCCTGCACGCTCCAGCCATCAACAGCGATCCGAACGTGTTTTTCAGCAGCGCTCCGACCAGTACGGCTATTTCGACTAGCATCTACAACAGCTACGTCTCCAGCACCAGCCTTCCCCATGCCGCCAACAGCTATACCACGAGCCAACACCATCGTTACCACTCGCCCCAGCTGCTATTCCCGAACGGTGCCCAATCCCCCAGCCACTACGGGGTCGAGGTTTACCAAAACGACGAAGGGATCTCTCTGAATCGGGGTCAGTTAGCTCAGTTATCCCAACAGGAATTGCCAGGCGGTGGTGGTAGCAGCAGCAGCAGCAGTAGCAGCAACTGTGGTAATGAGAGCAGCGGCAATGCATTCATGCGGGCCGGCTCGCCTAGTTATTCCACAGGCTACCAGGCAGGCCAATCCGGAGCGAGCCTGTCGCGAAGCTCCTGGCTCCTCGCCGCCAGGAGTGAGTACCCCGACTCGAACCCGTTCGGGTCACCACAGAACCGAGGTTGTGGGACTGCTGGTTATGGAGCAGCGGCACCGGTCGGAGCGTGCGGGGCTGGTGGAGGCAAAAGCAGCTACAACAGCACAGGCAATCCGGCTTCATCAGCAACCAGCGGAGTGTCCAAGTATGCTCGTGCCGCACGTGGCTAAGATCTAACACGGTGTTTGCATGCGTATTGATACACGTTTACACGAGTATAGGTATTGCATGTAGGCATTGAGGTCATCGGTGGAAGGGGTTAATCGGGGTGAAAAATCGAACGCGATGGAAACAGGTGCTACTCGGATTAAGGTGTTTCTTTCCAGAACTGTCCACTGGAGGGTCATAAGCGCATCGGGGAATTGTGCAGGTTTTATTGAATGTGTGTGTATAAGCAACATACGTAGGGGACAGCACCTTAATGTTATGTTCTATGCTTTACGATTTGTCAGCGACAAATGTAAGGATATATCTTACCATCAACATTTGACAGTAATAATAAATATCCGCTCCTTTTATTGTTCTAGTTCGTCCATTAGAGATGATAGTTTGGTTCTCACTTGGTGAAGTCTAGTGTAGCATTTTGTTGCTATGTGTCGCTTGCTATTGTTCTTATTACGACAATATTAATAATAATAGCAATTATTGCTGTATACGTATGCTTATTATAGGTTGGGTTATTGAAACGTATATACCGTTTTTCTAGCTAGATGATGGGTTGCGTCAGGTCGGCGTTATTGTGGCTTGAAAATTGAGAACTTTAACAGTAGTAGATGTGCGGATATTATGGAAATGTTTTGATTCAGACTTAAGATAGAGCAGTTTGAAGATGCGTAAAATTTCTATAAAAAGTCTCTGTTTTACAATTTTACCACAATAGAAAGCACAGATGTCGCCCCGGGCCATAAAAAAAAACGTGTGCCATTTATGGTCAAGGTGCATTATTGGAGGAAACGATCCATGGATTGTGATTTGGTCGCTTCTGTTCGAGAAATTTTGATGTTAAAGGTGGCTAATGTAATGGCCAATTAATTACGAAAAAAAAAAGTTGATGAAATTACCAAGCAAGACCCAGACATAAATAACAGTAATATCGTCAAAGAATCCAAATATCCATCTCGAAAAAGTTAGAAGTTATTAGAACAACCCTGATTACAAGCAAAAACTCGATGTGCCTTGGGTGCCAACCGAACTGATGCAGAAGGATTTGCTCGGTCGTGTTATCATCTATAAAGTTTCACTGAAATTCTTGCCATTTTTTAAAACACTTGCTCACAGATAATAATAACATATGGGCCATATGTCACAATACTATGGAGTGCACGAAAAATATCTGAAATGTGCACCAAAATCTGTGGCACCGTGCAGACTATCGTCAAAGATAGTGATTCTACATGTTTGGTAAGACTGCAGAGGAATCGTGCACTATGAGCTGCTACCTTCTCACGGAGCGATTGCTTCGGGTCACCACTGTCAACAAACAAGGACGTTGAGCAAGCTATTGAAAATACCGATTGGAATCAGTAAATAGAAAAGTGCTTTCTACTATGACAATGCCAAACCACATACATTTTTAGCTACCCGGAAAAAATTGAATGAGAAATTATAATGGCTCCGCCTCATAGCCCGGACCTTGCACCATTAGGATACCATGTGTCCCCGTTCCTGGATAACTGCATTAATGGTGTTAATTTAATTTTAACGGAGGCACATTTTTCGCCCAGAAATGGGATTATGATGCTACCAAAAAAAAAAACAAAAAATGGCATAAAGTTCGATTGAAATGTAGTATTATTTTTAGAATATAAAAAATAATTGGTTCACTTTTGATTTAAAAATGCTCAATACATTTTTCACAACCCAATATATCTTTGTTATTAATATGTTTACTATATTGAAATAGCGCTGCGTGGAGCTCGTATCAGCCGGCTTCTTGGCGTCAAACCAATTCAAGACAAGACAAAGAAAATAAGCTGAGACAGGAAACGTTATATAAAAATCAGCTTGCACCGAACAATGTCGTACGAAGCGTCGGTACCCAACGAGTCTTGGGTGAATTATTGACACGTATCAACGAGAATGCATTTATACCGCCGCCTGCATGTTCAAATTGGCCATCGTTGTACCGAGCATTGGACATAAGCCGCGATACCCCCTGGTCAAGCCCACACGGGTCAGAGCAAACCAAAGGTGACGAAAATGAATTCCCCGCTGAAAAGAAGGTCACCAAGTACGTAAGCAGCAGCTGTGGGTATGGGACCCAGAGCTATATGTGAGGGTTTTTTTTGTCTGGGTAAATAAGGTATTCAAAATAATTTTAAGCAGAAGCTAGTAGATTAAATATGACACAGTATTCATAACTCAGCGAAGCATTGCAGGGCTAAGGCCTCTCGTTTTTGGCCGCCGAACTCTCCATGATCGACTCCATTCAACTAAACTTAGTTAGCCAGATATAATATCTAATAAATGGGTTTATTTACGTATACGTAACAAGTACAGCATAGTCATTCCTTTACTTTCCATATATGTATACACACACAGACATTACCAGTGTGGCATCAGTATACTAATAGTTTTTGTCTGATTATTGTCCGTGAATACTGTTCCTTTATTATTACCCGTCGTCGTCGTCGTCGTCATCGTCGTCCTGTATCGTCGCGCATCCTATGGGCGAACGCAGATCAGCCAAACGGCGTCGTCGACGAAAGGTTCGCAAGGAAGAATTCACAATTGTGGCCGTTGTGGAAGAGCTCGTCGAGCGCGTCGCATCAGGACAGGTATGCTTAAAAACGCAATCATAGGGATCAGTATGTACTAGTGACACTAATAAATCAAAAGAAATTAGAAGGACAGAACAGGGAGCCGACAGGAAAAAGAGTTGAACGCGAATGGACATCCGTTATCGACGTTGTTGTTGTACTTACCCGGACAAAATGTTCCAGTGAGAAAAACAGAGAATTGGTAAAGAATTTCGTCGTCTTCAGACGCGCCGTGGGCGCCTTCCAGACGCGATGCATGTGCGCCAGGTTTGCCCTTGTAGCTGTCAAGTGGTGAAGTGTCTGCATACCGCTAAAATTAGGGGAACTTAGCGACAAGGTGGATGGTTAAGCCTGAGCTCGCGTCGTTTTGTACTGAAGCAACTTACTAGTTACTGAAAACACTAACGCTGAATAACAGTGGCATAAAAGCTAAGACTCGAAGGCCAGTTTTTTTCCTTAGTAGTAGCCTTATCTGCTTTTGCAATAATAATCCACTTTATCTCCCTTTCACCACGAATGGACTTCTTTAGACAAAATGAGTTCAATAGTAGCGGCTGTTCATTATTAGCAAGCCGTGATAGCGCAAAGGGTCACGTATTTGCCTGTTAGAGTTAAGGGCACATAATGAACTAGACTTGAATCTGAACGTTGGCACATTCATTTACTGTTTGAATGAGTCATCTGTCTAAAGTAACGCCAAAATTTACGTTTAGATACTTAAAAAGTAGAAACACGTTACTTTCGACCTATCGATTGCGGCCATATATTACAGATAGCGACCTCTTCTACGCAGAAAAGTTGACTCGAATAGAGACGCACATCGTCGACGCTGCCGCAATCGTGAGGTCTGGCTGGTGTTTAGCAGTTAGTTAGCTTGCTCTAAGAGGGAATCACATAGAACAAGTGTTTGTTGTAATAAGTATGTTTTCGTGATGTTAATGTGTGTGGAAACCGTCCGCAAATGCATCAAAATGTCTTTTGCTTGAGGCATTAAGGATCACTGGCGCGGTCGGCAGAGCTGAGTGCCATTGAATTGATCATTGATTTGCGGCAGCACTTAACTTTTCTACTCTTTATTTCCAAAGGGTGCCTCGGTTCGTCCTAGAGGACACCATTAACAGCGGTGCCCTTCCTTCAGGCAAATATACACTATAGTAAGCTTTAAGAACTGCCTATACCTTGCTAATCGATATGTTTCAACTTCTTCAAGTGCGTTAACATTTTTCTTTTTTCTTTAACTTTTTCCTTTTTATTCGTTCATTCATTCATAGTTAAAATTAATTTTAACCCAGGCAATTTAGTTGATTTTATTTAACGCGCCTTCAATTGGTATATTCAAACCCGACCACTTACGCGTAAAACGATGAAACATAAAACTGACTGGATAGTCTAGACTAACTCGTGGAATAAGCTAGCTCAATTACTCAATCGGCTTCTTTTATGGTATCATTGATGATTCAAGCAGCTAGCCATGCCATGTTACCGTCTACCGTAACAATTATACTGCTGCCGCCATCGTCAAATGACAGGAATATTATAAAATCGTCGACATTCGGCTCAGTGATCAGTCATACGCTCTGTTTTGCTGAATCCGCGGTTTGCCCATATGTGCGGCTGTATTAGCTTGTACCCCGCAAGATCGTCGATGGCTAGCACCGTCGAACGGTGATATCTTCTACGCATTTCATGGTGTGCTTTTATAATGGATCAAATTAATGAACATTATCCGATTCGAACTAGTCGAGATAGGCCGAACGGAGCCGACTTAGCAAGATTGTACCTGCGTTTTTCATTTACTAGCAGGTACCTGGAAGAGCATTGTCTCTCATGGAGGTGTTATGGCTGAGTCATTATTAGCATCCATCAGCGGCACAAGTTCAAATCAAGTACGTTTCCTTCTTTTCTTGGTAGCTGTACCACAGTCGTGTTCCTCTTGTCCGCTATTTTCTTAGGAGGGAAAACGCTGAGGCACAATAGCTGAAACGGTAACCGCTTTGACAGTGGCAAACTAATGCATGGAAATACCGTGACTGCTTTTTTCTTATATATATATACTCTTTTAGTATCCTGTTGAACTTTTTCATTTGCCGTCGTTACCTTCTTATCTTTTAACGTCTTTCAACTCTGTATAATAAACGCCTTAACAGATAGTCTTCAAGTTGCACCTGTGTGTCTCCATGGTGGCGCAAGATGGAACTTGTGTACCTGCCTGCCTGCCAAGGCTAGCCACACGTGGTGATCTAAGGTCGAATCTAGAGTCAGACAGACGGTTCGTTCTGTACTGACTGGAGCCCGACGGCTCAAACGCTAGACGTAAAACACTAAGGGAGTTAATTTTCTCTGACATGACATGCGGCCATATGTAATACCTAACTGCTGTGGCAGATGCTATAATCGAAACATTTATTTGGATTACATATATACGACAGTCACATAAGAAACAGATCACCGGCGTCTTTTTTCTTCGTTCATCGATTCGTCCGTCTTTAGAACCCAGAACACTCATTTAATCTTCGACAAGAAGGTGGTCGTGTTTATGTTTTGCCATCATCGAAATTCCCAAACGTAGAAACTTTCGCCGTTGTTAGAATAGGAGAATTATTCACTATAGAAACCAGTTCTTCTCGCTAACATAATTTACTATGCCACTGTATTTTGGTTCTATATTTCTTTGCCTTGTTGGAGTATTCCACTTGCTAATGTGTCTTCAAAAATGTCTAAAGAGAAACACGAATCAGAAAAGTTCTAGCGCATAACTTTCTATAACGACAATAAATACATACATACATATATATATATATATATATTTTTTTTTTTTCTCGATTTCAGTTACCGTAATTTTATATACACTCATGTTGTAGTGGAAAATTATGCACCGCAAGTTTTGTGACTTACGCCTTTGAGATACTTTCTAAGGTGCTAACAAGCAGAAAACTCCACCAAAATAAAACAATATAAAGTGAAAGTTTAGTGGCTTAGCAAATTATGGTTTAAGAATAGCTGGTTCCTCTAACGAATAATTCTGCTACTTCAACAATGGCAAAGCTTTCTATGTTTGGGAATTTTGCTTACAGCGAAACTTATTCTTATTGAAGAATAAATGAGTTCTAAAGACTAACGACTCGATCGACGAAGTAAAAAGACGTTCGCGATTTGTTTGTTTGACGTGGAACTTTTCCGGGAAGCAAAATAAGAAGGAAAAGAAAATGACCCCAACGATAGGTTGACAAAAGGTATACAGCAGAAACTTCTCAATACTGGCCACGTCTTTACGGCAATCTGTTTGTCCGTTGGGCAACGGACTCAACAAACTGCGACGTTACACCCACGTCGCTCCATCTGTTACGCCTTGAAAAGCCTTGAAGCTATTTTACCAAGAGCATATGAATCCCGATTCGAACTTGGGCGCCTGGCCTGACGACTGACATACTCCATGTAACGGATGAAAAGTTGAACTTATCCGCAGGATCCGAACGAAAGCAGTTGAGTTGAAAAGTCTTCGACTGTTTTTCTTCACTTAGGATTGTTTTTTTTTGCATATTGCTGCTAAATGTTTTGAAACATCGTCAATCTAGGCGGTATCCAGATCATTTGCAGGGCTTAATCAGTCGCACGTTTAGCATAGATTATACGCTGTAGTATGATAACAATATACCACTTACAAGGTATAATATTTATTTTATTATTATTGCATAAAGTGTTAAAAGGTTTAAGGGAACTTCGCAAAATAGCGGGAAAAACGATGCGGCCAAAAAAATCTCCATAGAGGCAAACGCACACATAATGTGATCTACATGCATGTGAGAGGGCTTTAAACTTCTTACACTTAAAAGGTGAAAGAAGGAACATGGACACTATTTCCGAGCACCGTATCCGAGTTGTTTCTAAAGTACGTGGCTCAGGACGGTAGTCTGCTTTACTGCTTACATATATACTTCTCTTCTAGTCGACTCGTTTAATACTACTTTCAAAACTTCGCGGGTGGATAATAATAAGTGGAGTGTGGTTTTTTGCTGGCTCTACACACGTGATCGAACAAATCACGATCAGCTTAATTAAAGCAACAGCACACACACTTTAGCTAACTGCTCGACAACTTTGTTTATACAGAAACGCTACAGACAACCGAATAAGTAATTTAGAGATTACCCTACTACGACTTCGACACGGAACATGTTTTGCCCATCATATGATGTAAGATAAATGAAGGGTTAAATTTGTTTCCGGATTTCCCGGACGCTCACAAAAATTCTGCATACTGGTAACAGGAGTACTGCACGTGGCAGTACTAAGTCTGTCTAGAAGCATGTAGTGATCTAGATTTTGAAGACGGGCGTAGACACATTTCGTTTCGTGCTGAAAGCTATTCAGTGTATGTACATGCTGGATGACCTGCCATCCAAGCCTGTGGTTCTATTGCGGATGTCCTTTTTCTACTACAGGCAAACAACTCACTATGCCATTTGCCAGACTATGGATCGACTCTTTGTAGCCGATAACGTATTGGACATTTTACGAGCCAAGCTGGTTTCCACTGGGCCGTCAACATACGACATAGTGTCATACAATCCTCCCTCATGAAATAAGAGTGTTCTCAAGGAAACTATTTACTGACACACTATTATTAACAGGACGGGGCGATAAGAACAAAATTGGGCAAAAACTGCGTGAGCGCTTAAAACAGATACTGTTTAATTTATAAACCTAGTTATTCCAAAATGAACTTGTTGTTTCCTAACTGCGAACGTATGTGGCATCTTATTGTAATTCTACATTTGCTTTTCTACCGTATTCCTGACTGCGGACACGGCATACTGATTTAATACTCGTTAAAAAAAATTCCAAATTCGGTACATAAGCCGTTTAGCATTCAGATCATTGAGCCGTTTTAGCACGCAGTGAGATGAATTTATGCCTATTCATAAACCAAGACCACTTCACGTGTACCTAAGTTTCGTAGATAAACATGGTGTTACGGCACAATCTTAAGCGAAAAAGTAAGTCTTAAATATGGCATTCGCTGGTGCAAGATTTTCGACTCTGCAACAAAGAGAGCGAGTTTAGATACGTACAAAAATAACAGGAGATATATTTTATTAAATCCACTTTTTGATGAACCCTTTTCATGTATAGTTGAAATGTTTAGGCTTCAGCGACACCAAGTAGCTGCTTCGTGCTGAACTCTGAAGGACGGTCGGAAAGACAATAGGAAGGAAGTGACGACACAACCAGCATAGTCGATTACGCAACTCGCAATAAAAACAAAACATCCATCCAATAGCCGCGTTTTTCATGGTGCCTGTTTGCTTTGATCAGCTCGTGCGGATCCAGCGTTCTGACCCAGCTAGAACAAATGGTGCAGGGGCGGGAAAGAGGGTCAGTTCGAAAGGCAGTTTTTTATTCAAAAAACCCAAAAGCTAGTTATTAGGTGGGCACGACTCAGCTGTTCGACTCTGCTGTGTGCTCTTTTCCGAATCACAGCCCTCCCTTTCTTCCACTCAAATGTTGCATTTGTTATTCATCCGCCACCAGTTCTACGGGCCGAACGGGTTAAAAATCAAAGAAGAGAATAGATTTGTTTATTTGTGTGGTTTTCGATCTATACGAGTCTGTACATTTTCTGCAAGCTGCCGCTGGCTAGCAACTAGACAAATCTAGAT